AGTCATGAAGGCCAGTAAGTTTGATAACATGTAATTTCTCCCTCCCCAGTCTTAGGCTGTTACAATTTTTCTACTCACCTGAACAAAGCTGACCCTTTAAGGGAATAAAGGGATTAAACTTCTCTCTTGTAGAGACTTTGTGATTGATTTTTTTCCCCCTCTGGACCAAGTATCTGGAAAACACTACTTTTGTTTTTTCTCATAATTCTCTCTTACCTTTGACTCTTTATGTTTGCCCTGCTATTTCAGAGGTGACCCATGTAAGCCTTTGTTTTGTTTTGCAATCATCTTCAGTAATATGACCTATTTTATTTTGGCTATGTTTGTGTCTTTTTGTTTTGATTGGTTCTTTCTGTACTGCTTTTTCCTCATTGTGGTTGAAGAAAAATCCAATTTGCTATGTTGGTCTTTTATTGTTCTTGCCTGTCCCTGAGTTGCACTGGAATAGTTTGTATTGCCACTCGTAGCTGTGTTTTCTGTCTACTTTCCTAAATGCTCTTGCCTTAAACTTGCCTGTCTGTGATCCAGGTTACTGATTCTGAGTTTGATTTCAAAACAGCAAGTCCAATATTCAGATAGTTATCTATTACAACCTGTACCCTATGACTGCATAATTGTTTTCTCAGGGTTTTTCAAAACCATGTCAGATTCAGCATTGAACAAGTGTAAGCTGTAGACAAACTGCTCTGCTTTTTCTGTAAGATATTTTCCTTTTTTATTTTATTTCCTCTTTTATTGTATTTATTTAAATTTCTCTTCCTTGAAGCCGTATGTTTAACCACTTTGGTATAGCATTCATATCTGAAACGTTGCATATAGTAATATTTAATTCACATAGCAGGTATACACAGCAGTCATTGTGTTTATACTGAGTGACATGAGACATCATTCATACTTATTATTCTCAAGGGACAGTGAGGAATAGAAATAAAGCCTTTCCCATGTAACATTGAAAAGGCTTTTACTGAGTGATTTGCTAATCAATGCTTTCTCTTTGAAGCTGGAAAGACAGTGATCATTTATAAATTGGCCATCTACACAGTAGAACTATCCACTGTGAATAGAGAAAATATTAGCTAATTAGATTAATTTATTCATTTGTGGTTATATTGGACTATAATGTCTAGTGAAGAGTTACTGTGATTTTTTTCAGACAGAACAAATGGATGCTTTGTGGACATGTTTGTTCATAAATGGCAGAATATACAATATACCATAGAGATTTCCCTAGTTTCTGAGCAGTCTGTTAGTAATTGTGATAAGTGTCCTGTATACCTACACTCATTCATATGAGCTTTCCAAATAGATTCAGGGAACTAGTTTCTATAGAAAGATTATATAGCAACTATATTGAAACATAAGAAAGTCAAACACATTGTCAGTATCTTTTGTGAAGAGCATTCTGTCAGTTTTGTTCGATGTCAACAGCCTTTTGTTTCTTTTCCATAAGATATTGGGTGCAGTTGTACTCCTTGAATGACAAAATGCACAGAAGTAATAAGTGCTCTGTGTTTTTTTAAGAAATTAATTCCTCAAATAGTATAGATTTAGTATTTTTCAATTCCCAGGGAAGAATTCCAGATACTATGAGATGTCACAAATCCTTAATAATTCATATAACTAGTCGTGCATGTTTCATCTGTGACAGGCAAAAACTCAAGAGTAAAATAGTACAAGTATCTACATCTGAGAGCAATGAAATACTTTGGAAGAAAAACCAAAAATCTGTGAGCTCTGAGTAGTCATACCATTAGTTACATAAAATTTTTCATTTTACCATATGCTTCTGAATACTACGTTTTTGGATCCTTTTAAGACTGGCAGTGCTTTTGTGTGTACTTCTGATCTTTCTAAAATATTATTTAACTTCTCACTTATCTTGCTCAAAATCTCTATTTAAAGAATTGGGAGTTTTTTTTAAGTAAGCACCTCTGTTCAGCTCTGTAGGGGATGTCGTTACAAAAGCTAAGCTCACACTTTTTATATGAAACACAACTATACTATTGGTGTTTTAAAATAGGTATAGTTATTATGACTTCAAATGCAAACTTATCATATCTTTCAGAATATTATTTAGTAATTTTGATTGAAATCTTCTTTATAGAATCAAAGAATTGTAGATTGGGAAAGACTTTTAAGGTTTTCAAGGCCTGAAATTATTAATTATGGTTTGGTGGCTTTTGTTTTGGAAGGGTGTGTGTTTGGTTTGTTGTTGTTGTTGTTGTTGTTGTTTTGTTTTGGGGGTTGTTTCTTTTCTTTTCTTTTCTTTTCTTTTCTTTTCTTTTCTTTTCTTTTCTTTTCTTTTCTTTTCTTTTCTTTTCTTTTCTTTTCTTTTTTCTCCTTTCTTTTCTTTTTTCTCTTTTTTCTTTTCTTTTCTTTTCTGCTTTGCTTTGCTCTTGCTTTTCTTCTTCTTCTTCTTTTCTTTTTCCTTACTTCTTTTTTCTCTTTTGCATTTTTCTTTTTCCTTTTTCTTCTTCTTCTTTTTTTTTTTTTTTTAATCTCTATTCACAATTCCCTATGCAAAATTGCCTATCCTACAAAACCAATACCTCACAGCCCCAAATAATCATAAGTCTCTCTCCTTTCCCTGCTGCAACTGCTCCTCTGGGTGGCAGGCCCAGGAAAACGGCCAGGACACCACAATCCCCGACAGGAGCTGGCTCAGCCTTCTGTAATCAAAAGGGCACGTTAATTACAACACTTGCCCAGAAAAAGACACACAACGACTGCCAGTTAAGATGCATTCACAGCCACCAGCAGCATTTTCCTCCCTTCCAAGAAGGGACAACCTTTAAGCCCTAGCTAGAGCTTGTTGTGAACCTAAATAGGACTTCAAAGGGAAGGCGAGAAGGATCGGCAGCTCCCGACCCAAGGAGGAGACAGGGCAGATACATTTCCCCAGAAACGGGCAACACACAGTCCGGGGGAGGTGCAAGGGATTATTCAGACTCTCTTTCACCCTCTGTCTTCTCCCCTTCTTCTCCTCTGCTGGGGGCTTCTATGCTAAAAACACTGGAAGAGGAGATGGGAAGTAAGAAACGTCACCCTAAAGCTCTCCAACATTAGGCTGTAAGTATGGGGAAACATATATGTGTTTAAGAGTTTTATGCTGCATTCTTGCAACTGTGGCTCTACTGAAGCAAAAAACCTCTAAAATAAAGTGGAGACTGCAACCACAAAGTCCTATCCCACCTCCATTCTTCTCTCGACAGATCCCTTTTAACCCTTCAAAGTGTTCATTAAAACAGTATTCCTTCATGCTTTGCTAATTTTCAGTTATTTTCAGAAAGGGAAATAAATATCTGTGGTGAATTATGTCCAGAGCTTGTTTTGCAAACTCCTTGTAGAGAGGATACTCTTGCAACTGGGCAGCAGCAGATACTCTCACCATGTCCAGCACCACCATACTCTGCAGCAGTTCCTGTCCCTCTGCCTCCTTCGCTGGATTTTGCATGAACAGGCTGGGAGCTGTGTCTGTCTGTCCCAGCCGATCTAGTCTGTTTGTCAGGTGGGCAGCTACAGAGCACAAGCCAGTGCTAACCTCTGCATGACACTCGGAAGGGGACAGCAGGAGTATCTGCTCTTCAGGCTGCAGAGATGGGAACTCACAGCCCTGCTCTTTCGGTTTGTAACAAGCATGTGACAGGTAATACATACATAACATATAAGAAGGGTTTCTTTTGTATTTCCAGATTTCCTGCAAGCATTCATGATTAAGGAAGTAATAACCTATGATATAAAGAGGAATAAAACAGACTTCCAAAATGGCACAGGAGTCATTTGCACTGTTACTGCATCAGGAGCTGTGGTTCCAGTCCTGCAAAGGCTCATGATCAGGTCTTAAATGTAGGTGCTGTGAGCAGTTCTCCAGGAGTCAGAGTGAGCAAAACTGCAAGGATTAACCAAAATAGGACATGTACGCTTTCAGACTGCAGTCCATCCAGTGTAGGAGCATTTTAAAAAGTTGTTTGCACACCTAACTCTTTGAGGCACGACCTTGGCTTTGGTGTTTGGGTGCTTTCATGCTACAACAGTAAAAAACAGTACCCAGAGAACAAATGTCAAAACCAATATTCATGTATTCATTGCACAAATTTTCATGGTTGAAAATGGTCAGGGTCAAAATGTGTTGTAAATGCCAATGTAGTAAACGACTGGTTTATGCTTACATGAATATTTCAAAATGTATTTGGGCTGCTTTGCTCAGCCCTACTCATTTAGAATTGCAGGGGAAAGGGAGGGGGAAGGGAAAGGAAAAAAGAAATAACTGTGGTGAAACACAACCAATGACAGAGTCAGACGTATCTTTTTGTTAAAAAAACCCTTTAAAAACAGCCTGAAAAAACACTCAGGCAAATGCTCACAGAATGATCCTGTTAACTTCAAATCTCTGCAGCAATAAACACCATTTTTAGTTACTTTCCTCCTGCAAAGTCCTGATGCTTTCTTCCTTGATAGATACCTCAGAATGTTTTTGATTTAACCAGTAATATAAATTCTGGGGTCCTTCCCTTACCCTTTGTAGCTTTTCTGGGCTCTGGCTATTTGGAGGGTGAGGGCAAAATGCTCAGGGGTATGTCTGGCTGAAGAAATCAAGGGAAGTCCCCTCCTGCCATTTGCCAAACTCTGGCCAGGGATGCTCTAAACACATTGTTCCTTGTCAGCTTCTCACAGTATGTACTCACACTGCTTTATCATATTCTTTCTATTAGGTCCTAGTCTTTCCCAGAAACTGAGTTATCCTCAAGCTGAAATCTAGGAGAAGCAAATTTGGGTTATTCATAACTCCACTTCTGACAGGTAGTGAACATTATGCCAGCTTATGTAAGAGGTTGGAAGGCAAAAATTCTCATCACAGCATAAAAGTCCATTTTTTACTGCTCTTCCTAGTTTCAGAGGGGTAGTATTAGGACTCTCCTCTTATATGCTTTGAACTTTGTCACCTTGAAGACATTACATTAAGAAAAAAAAAACAAAACAGAAAAACCCTCAACACAATAGTATTTCAATCAGATGTTCTGCCGCTAAGAAGTCAGCTTTTAAGTATAGGGTAATTGCTATTTCTGCAATGTTTCATTAATTGTTTGTCACTCGATAATAATATTTCAATTTACCTGTGCAATAGCAACGCTAAATGCTACAGTCCTCTTTTCTAGCAGCTTCATGGGGAAATATTCTGCTATTACGGAGTAGCCCCCCTTTTTTTGGCTGATCTTACAGATACACTACACACTAAAATGTAGCACTGCTATAGTCTCATATTTTCTTATATTTTGTATTTATTGCTGTATATTTTACTCACTAAGAAAATATTTTCAACTGCCAGGATTTCTATTTATCTTTAAAACAAAATAATAACTCACTTCATCCATGTGAGAGATCCTTTTTTTTTTTTCATCCTGAATTTTCCAGTTTGCCTCATTTCTTTTATGTAGCTTAATTCTGCATAAAAGTTACACGGGGTGAAAGAAGGAGATACCTTTAATATAGCTTTCCTACTGTTAAATAGCTATCTTATTCCCCCTTTCAAAAAAAAAAAAAAAAGGCAAAACAAAACAACTACTAAAGTGACAAAATGACATCAACAAGTAGACAAAGAGAAGTGTTAGAGGCGACTCAGACCTGTTGTCCATCACATGCTTTTCTCTCTGGTGTTCCCCTTAAAGACTGCTGGGTTGAAGACGAGCCATTCTTCTCCAGATTGCATTCTCCCCCTGCTTTAAGAGGGCTTTACTTTCACCAGAAAATGTTTATTGTAAAAAAAAACCAAAAAAACAAACAAAAAAACCCAACAAAAAAGCCCAAACCAAAACAAACAAACAAAAATCCCAAACACAGCACCCCCTCCCCTCCCCACCAAACAGCTGTTATATATCCATTGTAAATGTTGTGCCAAACTCTAAGAAGTGCCACCTTGGTTTTCATCTTTCTGGGATTTGAGCAGTTGTGAGCAGAACAGCTGCATATCCATAAGCCCAGGGCAGGTGGCCCCAGTCAGACACGTGCCACTCACAACCACAAAGCTGAAAAATCTGACCAGTTCCTTGATAGTCTGAAAATGTTCGTGAGTTCCAGTTTCTTCTCCTTTTACTTTTATGTAAAGGAAAGTAAAAGTCCAGTTCAAAACTGCTAAGTAGTTTTCCCATGTTTGCATTCAAGAAATAACTTTCACGGCCATAAAAAATATTCACACCACTAAAAAAAAAAACAACCCACAATTTTCTCAGCCCCTTGTATGAAAGCCAGTGGTTTTGCATCATCATCCATGATGTCATTTGACTCTTTTAGAGTAGTCTGACTGCAGGTCTCGGTGAGGGGTCTGCTTAAATAGAAGTTCAATGTCTTTGGTTCTCCTCTTGCATCAGAAGGATTTTCCTTTCCAAAATAAGTCTAAAGTATTGCCCTTGCAATACCAGGTCCTTTTAAATCCCGTTGTCTTTACCCGAACTGTGGGGCCACGGTGGGCTTGGAAAAGGGCAGGGGGGAATCTGAGAGTCTTTGAGTCAGCACATCAGCTCAGAAGGGATCCACCACAGAAGGAGTAACGACGAGCTGCAAACCAAGATCAGAAGTTGTTACAAACTGACCCGATTTCAGCTCTGAATGCCACCATGTCTAACAGGCAGAGAGCTACAGGGGATAGCCAGGGGAAGAAGAGTGAAGGACAGCTCTAAAACCAGTACAGATCCTTGCTTTTATCCTGAGTCTGCAAACCTGAGAATGGAGAGAAGAAAAAAAAAAAAGGGAAGAAGAAAAATAGGTACAGGTGTTTAAGGACAAAGGAGAACAAATTGCATTTCTGCCAGCTGAGATCAGTCTAAAGCATGGGGTCTCTAGAGCCCCAGGAAGGCTGTGAAGCAAGGAGAAGAGCCCAAGCCAGACTGGAGCCTGGCAGACTGGAGCCTGGCACACATCCCTCCTGCTGTAAATGAGGACACCGAAAGGATCCATTAGGCGCTGTGATAACAAAACCAGCATGGAGCAGGCTTTCCTTGCCTTCACAACCACTGATTCAGGATCTGCCACTACTAACTGCCTGTGTCCCTGAATTTATCACCGCTACAGTCACACAGCCTTGGTTCCAGACACCCCACCAGGCACTACCCCATTGCCCTTTTTGCTCAGCAAATGCAATTGTGCTTTCATCTCAAAAACTGGAAGGAAAAAGTAAATAAGGAAAGGAGATAGTTCATGAACCTGCATGGGGTCTAAAAATTACCTGCTCTGCTGTGGCTGCCCTCAGGGCAGCATGCAGAGGGGGCCAAGCAGTGACCTTTAGGGCTGCTTCATCCTGCTCCCAGCTCTTGCTGCTCAGTGTAGAAGCAGGACCAGTGCCCAGACAAGAGTACCTCAAAGCAACCTGTACCCTCAGGGCATGTTTGCAGGCATCACAAAATTAAAACTTGCTGGCCTAAAAGCCCCAAGAAGAGCACTCAGGACAGAGCTCAGGTGTTGTGCATGGGGCCTCCACCCCCAATTTATTCCCTCCCAGCAGCACCCCAGCCACGCCCCCGGGGTGGTCCTGCCCTACTACTGTGGATGGCGTGGAGTCAGGGAGCAGGGGTGCAGCCAACTCAGGGAACTTGTAGGGACCGAGGGTAGCTCGTTACCTGTGTCAACATTGAGGCTGATGCTCTGTGCCATGTCCCCTGATGCGTTGGGGAAGGGGCCTGGTGTCGTCCAGGCTGCAGCAGCACCCGCTTCGCTCTTGCCCAGTTCACAGGGTGGACTGACTGGAGTGGACACGGAGGCAGGTGTGAGGCGATGAGGGCGGACGGAGGCAGTGGGCACCAGGAGGGAGCCATAGCGGGGGTCAAAGTGGGGCCCGTAGACCTCGTGCATGGCAGCGGGGCGAGGGTAGGCAGTGCTCTGTGTCCCAATGTAGGGGTGGTGGTGGTGGTGGTGGTGGTGGTGGGCATGGTGCCAGGGCTCAGGGCCTCCCTGGTGCAGGTGGCCATGCAGGGAGGCGGGTGCGTAGGGGTCGGTGGCGGTGGCGAAGGGCAGCTCGCTGTGGGCGGCAGCTGCCAGGGGGCTGCTCAGGCTGGCTGGGACTGA